CCCTGTGACACGCTCAGCTTCCGCTGGCCCACGACCCGCCACAGGCTTTGAAACTGGATCCCTTGACTGGTTGTGACCTGTGCTGGTGCAGTGGCTGGCGCAGCAGATTAATTTAGCACTCACCTGTTTGCGTATCAGTTGCTCTGCTACTTGGAATAGAAACTGAAGATGGTTGTTTCTGAATGAAGAGGATTTCACTATTGATAAAGAAAATAGGAAGGTTGGACTGCTGGTGAGTATCTGGTTTGGTTGCTTTGGAGGGTGAGAAATTGTTTATATTTAAATCCCTGGTTGCTGTTCTGTGTGTTGTAATTTGTGTACGTGCCAGGTGTTGGCTCCTGAGTCATGGGAACAGCAGGTCAAGGGCTTGGGAAGCACCAGAGAGAGGGGTTTGGTGGCTCTAGAGACATCCTGCACCTGCAGTGCCCTGCGCTGTCTTGTCAGTGTGTGCTCCTCCCTTGGGTGGGCAACAGCTAAAGTGGGGTGCTGGAGTTTCCCATAGCTCCCTGAAGTGCACCCTGCATTAGAGTTTTGTGGGTTTTCCCTTTTTCATTAATTTTTAGGTCTCAAATGCTACAATACAAAGGTGGAAAAATTGAGGGAGCTGTAAACCATTTTTGAAGACCAATGTTAACAAGTGGCATCTAAATCTCCACTCTGCACCTGGGCTCTGCCTGATAATAGGTCACACTATTTTTTAAAAGAGGGAGTAAATAACAAGTTCCCTTTCCCCTTTCCTTTCTTCCTATATTCCCTTTAAAAATCTTTTTCTGTTGCCATTTCTGCTTCCTCCAGGCTGTGGTCCAGTAATGCCACCTTTCACCGGTGCCCAGGCATGGAGGAACAGCAGCAGCGCAGTGAAGGGTGTTACCATGACGTCTTGCCAGGTAGAAGCTGTGCTGTCGCTGCCTTGAAACAGCCGGCATCAGGTGCTACAAATGAAATTCTGGGAACTAGTTTTTATTTATGCCGATGCTCCAGTACTCCTGTTCATAGCCCTCGCACAGATCGTTGCTGAGAAAAAGGCAGCCCTTTTTCCCCACTGCCTGATGGAGCCAGTTCTACTTGAATTATGAAACCTTACCACTTGAGGTTCATCGTTCAACAACTGCGGTTACATAGCTATAAATGACGTAAAAATGTACAGAAATGCAGAGAAATAGGACCCCGGAGTCCTTCTGCAGCTAAGCCCGAATGAAAAAGACGTGGGGTCGATCAGGGATAAAATGATAGCTTGGGTTTTGCTTGCAGGTTTTTGTTTTCTGGTCAGCCCTAAGACATCTGAGCACCTTTTTCTTTCATCACAGTAACATTTATTTCAAATGACCAAAAGCCTCACTTTGCTTTGTAAACAAACAGAATCCTGCTTTTGAATACAAGAGCAGTGGTGACAGAACTGTAGGCTTTAAAGAGAAGAGACCGGTTTGTTACAGAGCAGAGTAACAATCGCCAGGCTTTGTCCATTTGAAGTGGACATCGATGATGTTACGCATGCGCTCATCGCCCACATAAATCTGGGCAGGAACGTCTTTACGTTGCAGGTCAGAGCTGCCAACTTCTCCTAAGTTTGTTACTTCTGAAACATTCAGATTTTTAATGGTATTGTGACTAACTTCTTCTGCTATGGCTTGTGCCAAGACCTGAGTATATCACCAAGTGAAAGGTGACAAAACAAAAAAAAACCTAACTAAAACAAACCCCTCAGAAAAAACCCAAGCCTTGCACTGTTGATCAACCTTACCAGTGATGTGGGCCAGGCTTGCATATCAAGCTGCTTAAACAACTTGTCTTTAAAGCACCACCTTGAAGTAAATGTGAATAAAGGAGAAAGTTTTAAGCCCTGGATAGTCTGAATTTGCTTTTGGATCTGTAGATAAGCTGCAACAATTAATTTTACCTAGATAATGTTCATCTAGAATGGTTCTGTTCCCCCCCGAGAAACCAGTTCCTTGGACAGTACAGGCTTGGGGTGGACCTGCTGGAGAGCAGCTCTGTGGAGAGGGACCTGGGTGTCCTG